CCGCGGAATTTTTTCTCTGGTGCTGTTTTGCGGTGTTAGTAAATTCACCACTTAATTTAGAGTTAAAATGTTGTTGTAACTTGCGTTACTGAGATTGTAACAAGTAATAATATTACCCAAATTTTATTAGTAATGCGTTATATTACTGCGTTACAGCAAAACGTAATATACCACTGTAATATTATTACTTTTGTAACGCGTTACTCCCAACACTGCTCATATATATCCAACACCTTGTACAAATATGAAAAATATAAACAGTCACAATGAACTGCTCAGCTGTACCAAAAAACACCACGTATAGCTAAAGACTCAGCAGTTAACTGAGTAACAGCCCTTCAGTGCAATCTGCAGAAGATCTCAGTGATGACTGAAACCTTTATTACTAGCATTTCTCATGTTAAGGTGCCAATTATAAATTATCTTGTGTCACAGAATATTTAACTTTTACTTTTACTTAAGAGTCTTAAAACTGACCCTTTATGCTGTCACCGTAAAATAAAGTGCCTCATGGGTATTAAATAATAAAGTGTTTATAGGTACGGTTAGGGGAGGGGGAGGGCTTTATTGTCCCAATAAGGCAGCATCCATTTAATAATTTTAATAAAAATGGTAATTTACACTCAATATGTTATTAGTGCATACAGTTTTATATACAGTACTACAATACTGAGGTGCAAATATCTGCCACTATTTGCAATAAGTATAAACAGCATCTAATTGCTAGCTCATTTACACTTATTGCAAAGAAACTGCTGCTATTTTTACAGAGTTTAAATAGAATCTATCGCTATTTTCACTTAGGATATCACTAAAAAATGCTGCTATTTTCACTTGGTGTAAAGCATCTATCGCTATTTGCATTATATTACTGTTAAACAATGTTTTTAGGGCAGCTTCTCAAAATAACACGGTGTTATCATGTTTTACTGTATATGTGATTGCATACAATTTATAGAATGTTGGTCAAAACATTGGTTTGTTTACAGTTTTTTTGTTTTGTGCTTCATGATTGTTTAATAGTTTATATTGACCACAAACAGTGTGACAGCATGCTGCTATGAGACAGATGCTGCATGTATATCTGTTCAGAGAGATGTTTACATTCTTATTCTTATAACAGCAGAATGTCCAAAAGAGATGAAAATGTCACCGTTTCTATGTATAAATTGACAGAAATTCGCCCAGGTGTTGAGTGTCATTACACTGTATACAAATTACAAATACTTTGAGCTTGTACCTGAAAATGATTGATGTGTGTTGTGTTTTCAGCAGTATAACTCATTATATTATCAATCAATAAAATGTATTACAGGGTTGCTAACTGGAACATTTCTGGGTTTTTCATGATGTCCTCTATCTATCTATCTATCTATCTATCTATCTATCCATCTATCTATCCATCTATCTATCCATCTATCTATCCATCTATCTATCCATCTATCTATCCATCTATCTATCTATCTATCCATCTATCCATCTATCTATCCATCTATCCGTCTATCCATCTATCTATCCG